AATTTTGAGTACAGAATTGTAGAGATGAGGAAATTCTTGACATATCCCCCTTATTCATTCCCACCCACCTGTGGCTACTGCTCTGTTCTGGAGAAAAGAGGATAAATTTTGTTGGATTCCATTAACATTGAATGGCAAGAAGAGAGACAAAATAAGAGTTAGGCAAGAAAAAGACCTCACTTCACAGAAGAAAGTTTTCTTAGGGGGAAATAGATGGTCACTTGGGTTTGACCATGAATTCACAGTGCCTCAGTGGTTCACACCACCACTATCCTAAAAGCCCGGGCAGGCACCTACTTGTTGACACCCACCTTGTATAATGCATGCCTCACAACTACTTGAATTTGGGCTGTGTTGCTGAATGAACAGTTGTGTTCTACTTCAAATTGATTATTGCTGAGACTGAGCTCTCTGATGTGAGTCAAGAGGTATTTTTAGGCTTCCAGCCAAAATTGGTTGGAATGATAGGATCATGGACTCAATAGCCTTTACCTGATTTCCAAATAATGGCTACAGGAAACAGCAACTGATACTTTATAAAAAGCAGTATTTTGGTGTAGACAGAATCTTTGACTTCACAAAAATCCTGAAGAGCCCTGCCTTTTAGCTCTGGACTTTCCAATATGAGAACTACCGGAGTGGAAAATAATCTGTGCCCTCTTCCTAAAGGCTAGATAGTAGCCATAAACATCAAGACCAGAGCTTAGAAATTTCTATTCCTCAGAAAAACTTCTGGCCAAATATAGCAACAGATGTATTTTGTGTGGCTCTTTCAGTGCTTGCCTGCACAGCGACTGCGGATTTCAAGCTTTGAAGAAATCCTAAAATCAAGGACACAATGACTTTTTATGGAGGTTCCATCTTTTGACACAGCGTAGGCTTTCCAGCTTGCTCAGTGCCTAGCCCTCCCTACAGATAATGAGTCTCCATTTATTTATTCATTTACTTATTTATTTATTGAGATGGAGTTTCATTCTTATTGCCATATTTTGATACAGAGTCTCACTCTGTCGCCCAGGCTGTAGCGCAAAGATGTGATCTCGCCTCACTGCAACCTCGGCCTCCTGGGTTCAAGCGATGTTCCCGCCTCAGCCTCCCAAGTAGCTGGGATTACACCCACCACCATGCCCAACTAATTTTTGTATTTTTAGTAGGGATGGGTTTTTGCCATGTTGGCCAGGCTGGTCTCAAACTCCTGACCTCAAGCGATCTGCCCGCCTCAGCCTCCCAAAGTGCTGAGATTACAGGTCTGAGCCACGGCATCTGGTCCCTTCCATTTATTTTTATCATGTGCTTCCACCGAGGATTTCCTTCTAGTAGAGTGACGGCTGCCTGGCTCCTGTACAAAGATGAGCTGGGGACGCCTGTAGGCATCTCACAAACAGTCACTCATAGTAGAATGTGAACCCTCATATTACTAGTTACTATAGCAAAATTAACCAGAAAAAAATATAGTTATGCACAGCTCTTTATTTTTTTCTAAAGACAAGTTACAAATTATAGTTTTTTTAAAAAATTTATTTCTCTTTTAAGATACTTTTAAACAATTCAATACTAAACAAAGCCATTAAAAAGGCAGAAATAAAAGTAAAAATCTACTGATGAATGAATGATTGCAGTAGCGTTTGTTTGTTACTGACCATTAGATGCAAGTGGGTAGAATTGAATAAACCAAATGAAATGGAAGCAAAATCCCAAAGCATTGCATTCTTTAGTCTTCCAAGCTGAGGAAGGTGACGGATTCAGGACGCTTCTAGAGTAGGATTATATTTGGTTAATGAGCAGTGGTAAGTATAGCTGGAAGACAGATGTAACTTGCTATTTATTTGTTTATTTATTTATGAGACAGAGTCTCATTCTGTCACCCAGGCTGAAGTGCAGTGGTGCAATATCAGCTCACTGCAACCTCCATCCCCCGGGCTCAAGTGATTCTCATGCCTTAGCCTCCTCAGTAGCTAGGACTACAGGCATGTGCCACCACGCCGAACTAATTTTTATATTTTTAGTACAGATGGGGTTTCGCCATCTTGGCCAGGCTAGTGTCAAACTCCTGACCTCAGCCACTTTTTTTTTTTTCCTGAAAACAGATTTTTTTCAGCATTCTCTATTGGCTGCTAAGTAATTCCCATGCAGATTAGATTTTAGAGTGATCATGTGAGTAATATCTCCATGAAACAGTCCAATTACTCATTATTTATCAGCCGCCTAGTGCGACAGATTCAGTATGTGCAGATCCACGATGTGAATAGGTTTCACCTTATGAAATTCAATGACTCACATACTAATTTAGTACTTATGAAGAAATATTGGACCTGGTAACAGCTTTTAAAAAGCTGAGTATGACTGAGTTAATAAAAACAAGTTTACACCATAATAAAACACCAGATATTGGTAAATGTTGATATTAATATTGATACATATTACTATGATGATATTAGTAAACTTTTTTTTTTGCACAGAAAAGTTCATTTATAAAAAGGACCAATTTCTTTCTCACTTCCACCCTGAGAAGTAGGTAGATGAGGCAATTGAGTGTCAGAGTTTATGGCTTACTCAGTGCCACAGAACTAGAAAGCAGTAAATCTGGGAGTACAGCTTAGGAATTCTGCCTGATCTCAGGGTCTCTCCAGGATGTCATGCTGCATAAGACTTAGGGAACAGTAAATTTTCTGAGCTGTAGAATAAAAAAGCACAGGCCAAGATATAATTAGTATTGTTTTCCTGTCAAGATGTAACCTTACTGTTTTAAGATATGGAATATAATACAAAGTATCGTCATTATTTTTTATCAGTATTAGGGGATGTGCAAATTGGGTTGGATGGAACATTTCAGTGTAATAGAAATTTTCTCTGTTTTTATGGGGAACGAGTCGAGAGTTTCTCTGTTAAAATAGTGAACAGCTGCTCACTTCTGGGGAATAACCACAGCCCACAATCAAGTCTGATAAGAACTCAGAAAAGAAGTGACTTATTTTGAACAAAGGTGTCATGAGCTCACAAGATAAGAGATGGGGCTACAGGCAGAAAGTGGGCAAGATGCCTGCATTTGAAACACAGTGGCCTCAGCTTTAAAATCCAGACAGATATGTGTCAATATCAGGAAATGAAAAAGAGCTGTTTACTGTGAGCAGAAACCCAACAGTGTCATTTTATGAGCAATAAAATTAAACACATTCATATGGCAAGTAGAGGAAATGATCAAAATCACCACCAAAGAACAGTGAAAATCTAAATCTAGCTTTTTCTTTCCTTCCGGTGATATGTTGACATTATTGAAACCTGGCATCAGTATTTTTTAAAACTGTAAGTTTCTTGGGTTGAGTAATAAAGAATAGTAGTGTGGCAGCTGGTCTTCCAAAGGGAGGTGGCATTGTGTGGGAGAGAAGGTCAGTATGCCAACAAGAGAAATGGAGCGGGTGGGGCAGGATGTAAAAGCTAGCGGAGAATTCTAGTCATCTAAATGTGAGCATAAACCTCTAGCTCTAGTTCTTTGTAAAACTGAAATAATTCAAAACATTATTTTAAGGAATAGAGAGAATTAGCAGAATGCCTAAAAAATAGTAAGGGTTAAATACATGTAGCTGTTATGTTTTTTCCATACATGCTTTCATAAGCTCTCTTCTGTTACTGGAGGCCTGTGGTTTATATAAGGGGGAAAAATAAGACAAAATGCCACACAGGAGCAGCAGGATCTCAAAGTCTGGCAAGCAGTTAAGCAGTTAGGTAATTTTCCCAGTGTTGCCTAGCTATTTGAACTAGAGTAAAATCATTCCCAAGTTCCAGCTTTTTCTATCTCTTTGTACTTCTAAAAGAGGTTATCTGTAAGCAGTTGAAAGGTGATAATTGTATCTATGATTTCCTTTGCTTTCAAGTTTCAGATTTAGGCCATATTACCTTTGTACCAATGGTGAAGATCTTGCAAACTCTGACAGTGCCACAACATACGTTAAATACCTCTTCTTCCTCTCCCTTCCTTTTATGGTCCTAGGAGTGGGGTAGGGATAGTATAGAACCCTGGATGCCCTCACCATGAAAATCAAGGACCCAGGGCTACTTCCCCCATTCATAGCTCCAGGCTGCAGCAACTCACCAGCTGAATTTAACTTGCACCACCTCTAATGAGGGCACTTTACATCTCAGCAAGTCAGCTGAGGGGAGTAAAATTACTATTTAATAGCGGGGGACTGGGTTGGTAGGGATAGAGAGGAACGTAGATTCAGACTTGCTTAGGAGGAATATTTTTCTGGATCTTTCTTCCCCAAATTGGGGGAATAATATGTGAGAGGGGAAAGTATTCAGGTAAATATGGTATAGTGGTGAGAGTCTGTAATATGAGCCTGGTGTCTCAAGAGAAAGTTCGTAACTTTCGTGGCCCCTGGGCAAGAATTAACCCATCTCCTCCAGGCTTAGTTTGTATTTCAGAACCAGGGCTTTAAAATCCTCCCTCTGCTTCCTCTTCCCCTGCTTGTGTGCTGTTGTGGTGGGGAAACTGCTCTCCGTGTTTCTGTTGGTGTGCATTACTGTGGGAGGCCAGTTCTAGCAAATACGTAGGTAAGGACCAAATATGCATTCAAACATTTGAGCTAATCCAACCAATGTCAATAAGGAACACCGAAGTTTCCCGGATATGGCCCAAATCAACTTTTACATCCTCAAGGAGTGTGAGTTAAAGCCCAGGGTTTAATGACTAATTAAAGTCACTGAAGTTTCTGAGCCATGTGTGCATAGTCACGCATTAGAGCTGGGATCTCAGACCAGTCATGACTTGCATGAGCTGCAAATGTGGTCAGTGGAAATGAACTCTCAATTCAGCTCCACAGCACGTGACTTCCTATTTCTGTAAGGTACTTCCAAGGCACTTCCTCTGTAAAACCAGCCTGAGCCCCAGGAGATTTCCTTCAGTGCTGTAGCTAAGTTTACTTTTAGCCCAGCGCAGAAGTTTTGCCTGAGATATGGTGTTAGTTTCTTTTCTTTCTCTCTCCTCTGCCGTTGGTTGCCAGCATGCAAGGATCTCGTGGCTCCTGTCCGTGATCGTAAATTGAATACACTGGTGCAGATCTCAGTAATCCACCCCGCGGAGCAGAGTCTGACAAGATACTCCAGCACTGAAATTGTGGAGGTGAGATGCTGTGTCCCTACATTAATCTCTCTCTCTCTCTCTCTCTCTCTCTCTCTCTGTGTGTGTGTGTGTGTGTGTGTGTGTGTGTGTCTGTCTGTCTGTCTGTCTCATCTCTTTCTCATCTCTCTCTTCTCTCTCTCCCTCTCCATCTCCCCTGTCCATCTCTGGATTTGAATGAACAGCTGAGTCCGTAGCAATGCTACACTACCACCCCGTGTCATTAAGGAGTACATACCTGAGATTATGAAGCATACCTTTGTAATTTACTAGAACGAACAAATGACGAAAGAATTGCGTCTTTTTTTTTTTTTTCATAAAAAGAGCTTATTTTTCACCCAAAGAGAGAAAAAAAAGTTCCCACTTTAAATTCTTTTATAAAGGATAGGATAAAGAAAAACAACTTATAGACTTCAAATTAATTGAAATATATATTTCTTTTGAGGAAAAAAAGGAAAGTTGTAGAGTACCCAGAGAAAATTTAAACATGTTAAGTGTTTTTGCCCTTTTTTTTCCCCTGTATTCTTTAGTCTGTGGAAACTTTATATTCTCTGCTATTTGTGTGTGTCTTTCAACATACAATGTTTTTCAAGGAAATGTAGATGATTAACTCGACAAACTGTTTTCAGGCAAAAGGTACAAGTAATACTCATCAGATGGGAGATTTCCTATTTACATTTACTGTTAGTAATATAACATTCAAAATGTGTCTAGAGGAAACATGTTATTGTGTTGGATCAGATTCAAAAGAGGAAGTATTTCTCTTTTGATTATTTTGTTCTGATCACACATTTCACAACCTTAGTGAATGAGAGAGATTTATTTAAACATCTGGGGCTGGAGAAAGTATACTCTAAACTTTTTAAGATTTGCTTGTTTTTCTTAGACTTGGGAGCTGCATATGTTTTGAATGAGGAATTTCTCTGTAAGAACCTAACTAGCCTGCCCCAGACCTGTCTGGCTCAGGGCTGACTGTCTGCTTTGATGCAGTGGTGGAATAAATGATTCAGACTGAACTGGAGTCATTTCTATAATGGGAATGACCCAGATACTGCATGCAGCCCTGAATATGCCCTTTAGAAATTTTAGGTTCCAGTGTTGGTATAATATATAGCTAATGCTATAGTTGAATTAAGAAAAATAATCTTATTCATATAAAGACATCTTAACTAAAATTGTAAGTTATTCATTTTACATAAAGTTAAAAATTCTGTTATTTTTAAAAATATTGCCAAAATTAATTTACTTATTCACTCATTTTTGAGTTTTTCTTATTTTTTATTTTATTGTGATAAAATACACATAAAATTCACCATCTTAACTATAAGAAATGTCTGATTTTGGCACATTTTAACATTTTATAATTGAACATGTTTTGCTGTTTTGGGTTATTTTATTCACTGCCTTTTCCAAAGTGCCTGATGCAGTGCCAAGCAAAAAGTATTTGTTGAATTGAAGAATGAATGAATGAGTTACGTGGGCTTCCAGAAATTCCCACAGACAATTGGTTTATAGAACTCTAGCAAACATCTCCATGATATTCAGCAATATATATGTATAAAATTTAATGCTGGATGTCAGCTCTAAAAATGAATTCTGAGGCAATGAAATATCCTGTGCATTGCATCCTGAGCTAGTAATTTTATAGCCCCAAATCCATCATATTTAGGGTTTCTTTCATTAGTTTTTCCAGTCATTCTGAGGAAAAAAAAAACACAGCTGAACATCTAAAAACAAATGGACACTATCAGAGCATGACTTTCAATTGAATCATTACAAAAAGGAAATAAATGGAAGCATAAGATTACCCTATGGTTCTTTATGAGAAAATGGCTTCATTTTAATTTGATCAGTCAATATCTTAGATTGTTTGCACAAATTACAAGTTATATCTATTAAATGCATTTTAAATGAACTGACTAACCCTAAAAAAGGGTTTTGTAGATGATGAAAGTAAACTTTTGCAAACAACTCTGACAATGATGCACGTTCATTTACTGTCAGCAGTTGTATCACTGCTTTAAGGCCCCGGGCCATGGTGTTGCCCATGGACAGCATTTGACAATTCAGATCTCTTCTAATAGAACTATTTCCAAGAAAAACAGACTCAGGCACACTTTCTGCTTTCTCATGTGTCACTTGCATGCTGCAAACTGCAGTTGCTGCCTTATTGAATCCAAGTTGTCTGCTTGTGCTGTTACAGGGAACAAGGGACCCACTGTTTTTGACTGGTGTCACATTCCCATCTGAGTATCCCATCTATGAGGAGACCAAAATAAAACTAACAGTCTATGATGTCAAGGATAAGTCTCATGACACTGTAAGTACTGGCACTTCTTTCCTTCTTTGGGAAAAAGTTATGCTTTTCCACACGATTAGATTTTTTTATGTAACTGACATTATTCAAAGAGTTTTTTTTTTTGCACTGTGTTTATGATTGTCTTATGTTTATTATTGTTTTTCTATTTTCCCAGATTTGCTTGGCTTGTTGCCAAATTGGCAATTGGGTAGAGCAAAAGCTTTCAGAACAGATTTGTCTTTTTCAGGAGAGCTGACTTGATCTTTTGGTTTACATTTTGTTGTTGCCTTTTTAAGTGAAGTGGGTGATATTGTGGATAGAAAGCAAATGGAAATTGGGTCATATTTAAAACTTTCTTGGTATAGTGATTATTCTAAAATAGGGAATTGACAAAGTGCTCTACTCTTACAATGCATTCTCTCTATATGGTATGCAAAATAATAAAGTGTACTATTGAGAAACTGCCGACATTTTTCTTGATGTTGTTACTGGCACCAAAGCAAACAGCAGGTAACTGGAAACACTTGGAAGAAGCTTTAACTGCTCTCTTTACATGAAGGGCAGGCGAAGTCCAATGGTCTTTTGTACTACATTCTTCAGTCTTCCTACCTGGTCTGAATATTCCTCCAACTGAATCATCCCTCCTGGTTAGATAAGTACTCAGGCACTATCTCTAGAGGACACTGTTAAAATTTGTGGACAGGAGAAAATGCTATTGGGGCGGTATTGAGAAGAGGAAGGCAGTTCTCTCCTTTAAATTTCCCTCATTAGCATGAACTTGTGTGACAGACTTGATGGCCAATAGTGAGGCAGGAGGCAGTAAACTCTTTTTCTTTTTTTTAAATTGTACTGTAGGTTCTGGGGTACATGTGCAGATCATGCAGGATTGTTGCATAGGTACATATGTGACAGTGTGGTTTGCTACCTCCATCCCTCCGTCACCTATAACTGGCATTTCTCCCCATGTTATCCCTCCCCAACCTTCCCACCCCCTACTGTCCCTCCCCTAGCCTCCCTCAACAGACCCCAGTGTGTGATGTACCCCTCCTTGTGTCCATGTGTTCTCATTGTTCAACACCTGCCTATGAGTAAGACATGCGGTGTTCAATTTTCTGTTCTTGTGTCAGTTTGCTGAGAATGATGGTTTCCAGATTCATCCACGTCCCTACAAAGGACAGGAACTCATCATTTTTATGGCTGCATAGTATTCCATGATATATATGAGTCACATTTCCCCTGTCTAGTCTATCATCGATGGGCATTTGGGTTGGTTCCAGGTCTTTGCTATTGTAAACAGTGAGGCAGTAAACTCTTTAATGGCAGGTGGGCCAGTGGGTTCCAGGAGAGTTCTGGTTGAAGCTAAGGGATGCTGCTGGACCTGGGGAACCCCACAGTGCCTTGTTTGGGGAAAATGTCACTTTGAATTCTGACTTCACTTTGACATTTCTATTTAGCTCATGACTCTTCTCTTCTTTTCATTCTTTACAATAAAACTTAGTCTACTGGTGGGAACATTTAACAAGAGAAAATATTTATTTTGAAGGGATGTCTATGCATCTCAGCCCCAGGAAAGTTCATTTCTTTACAACTGTAGAACAAAGGCTTAAGTAAATGCACAGCTTACATACATGGACCAAAACAGATGTGGCTATCTAGTACAATTCTTAGGAAGTCAGATTCTAGAGCCATATTGTCTGATTTTGTTCTGTTTACTGGCTTTGGGAGAGGAAATTCTTGGTTCCCCGGTTTCATCTTTTATAATATTTACCTAATGGGATTGTTGTAAGGTTTAAATAAATATGTGTAAAGTGTTACTGACTGTTACAGAGTAATTAATAAGGGTAAGTTGCTGCTATTATTGCTGTTATTGTTTTGGCAGCTGCCTCAGGCTTTCTTATAGTAAAAATCAAATTAAGGAAATATTAACCAAAAGAGTTTTCTCTATTTATTAATTTTGTTTTTTCTCAAGTAGCCCTATGCAGCTTATTACTTCTTTAAACAAAAAAAGATAAAAATTTGGTTTAAAACTGGCAACTAAAAAATACTTGCCTGGGAGTTTTGTCTTTTCCTTTCCAACCTCTTTGGTTTTTGAAATAACGTGTGAAAAAGGAGTAAGACTGCAGCTGGGACATTTAGACCAGTTTTGATAAATTATGTCCAGAGGTCTCACCCACTGCTTTTTGTTGTTTTTGTTTTTAACCTGCCAGAGAAGAGAGAGAAATGGAGGGAAAGGTGAAAGCATCATAAAGTTGGAGAGAAGAGGGAGCCATGGTTCAGATGGGAAGTGGGAGTGGGTAATGCAACTGTGCAGAGAATAAGCAGGGACGAAAGGGAAAACAGAGGAGGAGCTATGGGATTTTATGTTCTGCGAAGCACCTGATTAAATTTAATTCTCCAACAGTCCCAAGACATAGATAGGGTGGGGTATGGAAAGGATCGAGTTATAAGAACTCTGTGCTACAGACGTGAAAATGTTGTCACTAATCTCTTGGGCTTGTATAGTATTTAAAAATATCAGAGTTAGAAATATTACATGCCAAACATGTGTCTATCTCCTTCATTTAAAATGTGCATGAATGTTAATGCTCTGGAGATAAGTGACTAATTTACCCATTAATTATGCTTTTTGTTGACTTTAGTTCTGGAAACTAATTATTCGGGGTCTTTTAAATACTTTCTTCCTTGATCAGAGGTGTTATGACATAAAAGCATGGAATGAACTGGAACCCCTACTGTGAAATAAGACTTGTGAATTTTGAACATGCTTAAGAAGTGCAACCAGAATGCATTTACCAAGCACTGTTAATTAAGGCATAACCTCTTCCTTAGCATAGTTAACAATTAGCTCTGGTGATGGAAGTGTAAATGGAAACACAGTGCATTAATATGCTAATAGTTCCCATGGACATGTGGTCTTTTTCCTTGCCCCTTTCTTCCATTTCTTAGGTTTTTCTTTAAAGTGAGTGGTGGAGTCTACTGGTAGACTTTAAGCAGCAAGTGACTTAAAGTACAGCTTATAGTTATAAGCACTTAGCAACCTAAATATTTTAAGATTATAATATTCTTAAGGTATAAGAAACAAGATTATGAATATTTGCATGTTTTGAAAGTTTAATAAATTGCATGTATGTGTTTTAAGGTAGTTTAAATATTTGGTCCTAGAAAACCATTGATCATACTAGACCGACCCAGGACGATCAGATCTTCTATATTGGTTGAATACTAATCAGTTGAGTCAGATGACTAAATTGCTTGTGTTTTCCTGTTGGGTTTATTACTTGGAGGTAACCAGCGAAATAAACATGTGACTTTGCCATTTCATATCATTTGCATACATATCGTACTAGATGTTTTTAAAGAGAAATTATGGCCTTTCCTCTGTGCTCTTAATGCAGACATCAGCTCACTAACCAGTTGTTCTTGTGCTCCTCTAAACAACTGGACCTAGGATTGATTATCTTAGTAACTTCAGCAGAAATGCAATTAATCGTCATAACAAATCAGAAGAGCCTAACTGTTGATTCAGGGTGACTATTGTTTCCTTCTACTACATCCTTCATCCTTCCCATTTGCTTCAATAGGTCTCCCTCTTTGGCATAAGGATAGAGAATGCTTGACAGGCAGGGGAGGGGTGGGGCATAGAGGAGTGAAGGGTCTTTATGTATGAGCATTAGAGTGACCTTTTGATTATTTTCCTCCCTGTAAGGACATTATTTTCTCAGGATGAGCTGCCATAACATCGCACTGTCGGATGGCAATTTTAAAGCCTGAAATTGAAGCCCATGGCTAGGCTATGAGAACTTTAGTTTGTACAGTAAAGTTGATATCTTCTGGATGTATACTGATTTCAGTCTTCATTTTAATGCTCCTGGAAACTGACATAAACAAAAGTATTTTCAGGACATCATTTACAGAGCTTGGCCCTAACAAGTCAAGCTGTGAGATTCTGCGTCTTTCATATGTTACAGCAGAAACTTAAAAGCAAGGGGAAATTTAGAAAGGCAAAGAACATCACCATAAAACTTTGTCTCTTTTTCCCATTCCCCATGCAACATGTTGCTTTGGAAGATACTGAACAAGGCTCTTTCGCCACCCTCCGAGGACAGCCAACAAATCTGCAAACATATAATTAGGTCACAAAATTATTTTGCCCACTGGAGAAATTTGAATTTCTACTTTATTTTGCAGTGTACATTGACTCTCCTCTTTTTGCTCTGAGAATAATAAATGCTTGCTATACCATCAACTTGTTAAATTCTTTGCTTATAGAACAGAATCTGCACACTTCTCAGGGAAGGATGTCCTAAGACTTTTTTTTTACTACCAGTTACTAGCAAACCTGTACTTGAAACTTTCAGGGAAAGTTATCAAGACTAGATGTGTATATTACATAATGTGTGGTGTGTTATATGCTCAGGGCAGTTTAGTTCTAGAGGGGTTCCCTAGACAGAAGGGTCCATTTCCTTTTTTAATTTTTTCTCTGTAAGACAAAAATATTTTGTATTTAGTTTATTTTTACTTCACTTGATTTTCTAAATTGGCTTCTTAAGAAGTTTAAGTCTAACTATATCTATTGAGATATGAATTCCGTTAGTTGGCTTCCCTCTTTGTCTGTGAGATATGGTATAGTAGGTAAGAAAAGATAAATTGAGATTATTGATTTCTAAGTATATACCAAGCACCATGTTTAATATGTTATATATATTTTATAATCGCCATAAAACTCCTCTGAGGAAAATAATATTATGCTCATTTTAAAGATGAAAACATTGGTATTCTAAAAATCTAAGGAGACTTCGTCTGAGATCCTTTATTTTTTCTAGGCTATGTTATGGTACATACATTGTCCATAGGCTTTCTCTGATTTTTATTCCCCCACGGTGTGGCACTTTAACTTCAACTGATAGTTTCAAAGCACATTTCTTTTGAAGCTTAAAAGTTGATCAATTACGAAAACATCGTTGGTATTCAACTAGAGGAGAAAAATCTATATCCAGAATTTTTAGGCACTTGGGCATATACAACTAATTGAAATTGTCCAAATAAATTTTATAATGAAGTGGTCATTATTTATGGAAAAAAATAGCTGTTATTATCTGTTGTGAAATACCTGAGTTTATGTCTCAAACTTTTGCTTTTGTTCCATAGGCCTTGTTTTTTCCCTTTTTAAAAATGTGTACTACGTGGTTCCCTCAACCAACTCATTCACTTAGCCTCTGCATTTTGAAATTATCTTTTCTTAATTGTGACATAGTTTGCAAGGGGATTTACAGACTCCATATAGAGGGAGCTGAGGCTTCTAAAATGTTGCTACCTTTATAATTAAGTTAACTTTTCTTTTACTTGTTGATAAGTGGTATTTATTTACAAAGGACATAATTTTTAAATTGAGATATGATTTATATGTAATAAACTGGGCCGATCTTAAGTGTTCTGTTCCATGAGTTTGACAATTACATATGCCCATATCACTTTCACAAGGCAAGAAATAGACCATTTCCATTTTTTCAGAAAGTTCCCTTCTGCCTTTCTCCAGCCAATTACCACTCCATACAACCTGAGACAAACGTTTTCCTATAGATCTGTTTTGCTTGCTGTTGAAATTTATATGAATGAAATCATATCATTTTGCCCTCTTTTATCTAGTATCTTTTGTTCAACAAGTTTTTAGATTAATTCATTTCCTGCATGAATCAGTAGCCCCTTCCTTTTTATTGCAGTCTGTTTTAGTGATGTATCACAATTTGTTCATTTATTTTTATTGATGGGCATTTAGGTTGCTTCCAGTTTTTAATGATGAATAAAACATCTATGAACATACGTTGACAAATGTTTGTATGAAAATGTGCTTATTCTTCTGGGTAAATAGGAGGGAGTATAATTTCTAGATTATAGGACAGATTCATGTTTAACTTTCCTAGAAACTGTCAAACTATTTTCCATATTGATTGCATGACTTTTTACTCCTATTCCTAGTAATCTGAGTTCCAGTTTCTCCTCCAACACATGATACTGCCAAGCTTTTCCATTTAGCTATTTTAGTGGCTATAAAGTGGTGTCTCATTGTGGTTTTAATTTGCATTTTCCTGATGACTAATTATGTTGAGCACATTTTCCTGTGCTTACTGGCCATTCATCTGTCTCTTTTTGAAAACTGAAGTATCCAGCTCTTTTGGCTGTTTATAAAAAAAAAAGTGTCTTTTTCTGTTTGAGTTCTCAGATTTCTTCATATATTGTGGATACAAGTGCTTTTGTTGTATTTAAGTGTTAGAGGTTTATTAGTCTTTGGCTTAGACTAATAATTTCCTTAATAATACATTTTGTTGATAAAAACTTTTAATTCTGATTAAGTCCAGTTTATCAATTTTTTTATTCATGGTTAATCCCTCTTTTTAAAAAATTATCTTAAGAACACTTAACATGAGATTTACCCTCTTAAAAAATCTTATACACTACAGTATATTTAACTATAGGGATAATGTTGTATAGCAGCTCTCCAGAGCTTATTCCTCTTGCATAATTGGGATTTTATACTCATTAAGTAGCAACTCCTCATTTTTCCCCTCTCCCCAGCTCTCAGCAATCCCAATTTTACTCTCTGAGTCTATGAGTTTGACAATTTTAGATACTTGCTCCTAAAATTGGGATAATGTAGTATGCATCCTTCTGTGAGTAGCTCATTTCACACAGCATAATGTCTTCAAGGTTCATACAGGCATGTATTCCCTATTTTTAGGCTGAATAATATTCCATTTTATATACCACATTTTCTTTATCCACTCATTTATTGATGGTTGTTTAGGTTGTCTCCACATCTTAGCCATTCTGAATAGTCCTGCAATGAGCGTTGTAGTGCAAATATCGTTTAGAACTCCTGCTTTCAGTTATTCTGGATAAATACCCAAAAGTGAGATTGCTGTATCCTATGGTAATTCTATTTTTAATTTTATGAAGAAGGGTCTGGGAAAAGTCTGTCAACTGTCTGGATTTTATTTTATTTTGGTTTATTAAACTCACTCAGTTTCCTGATGAGTTTAACAAAAACTTATATTTTTATAGTATGCCTGACTTCTCAGTGTTAGAATGGAGGTAACAGTCTCTAGTAACTTTTAATATTTTAAGCAGAAGCAGAAGTATTACACATAGTTATTTCTTTTAGCATTTATGCTACTATTCATACATTTGCATTTTCATCTCTGTCTCTTTCATACATTTTCTTCTCTGGAATTTACATATCAAGTGCATTACACTCTGCTGATGCCCTTCACACTGTTTCTCTTTTTCTGCCATATTCCTGTTCTGTTTTACTATTATCTGCACTCACACAGTAATTATTCTATATCATCTCTTCAAAAATTATGTTTGCCCTTTTTGTTTTGGGTTCTCACAAAAGAGGAAAACATAAGCATTGAAATTTTCCACAGGGAAATAATGATGTTTGCATGGAGAAAGATTTTTTTGAGCATAGAAATGAAAGGATGTTTAATAATGAAATGCTAAAAAAAAAAAAAAAAAAAAAAAACACTTTGGCCATGAAAATAAAATGTACTAGAAGAAAATATAGGGGGAAAAGTTCTGTGACATTGGTCTGGGCAAAGATTTTTTGGCTATGACCCCAAAAATATATGCAATAAAAGCAAAAATAAACAAATGAAATGACATCAAATTGAAAGGCTTCTACACAAAAAAGAAAGCAATTAATAGAGTGAAGTGACAACCCATGAATTGGAAGGAAACATTTGCAAATCATACATCTGATAAGGGGATAATATCCAAAAATATATATGTGACTCAAGCAACTCAATAATGAGAAAACAACTCAATTAGAAAATTGGCAAAGGAACTGCATAAACATTTCTCAAAAGAAGATATACAAATGGCCACCAAGTAGATTTAAAAAAATGTTCATCATCATTAATCATCAGGGAAATACAAATTTAAACCATCATAACATATCACCACACAATTGTTAGAATGGCTACTGTGAAAAAGATAAAAATTAACAAGTATCAGCAAGTGTGTAAAGGAAAGTAAACCTGTGAACACTGTTGGAGGGAACATAAATTGGTATAATCATTAGAGAAGAAAACACTATGGAGGTTTCTCAGAGGCCATATGATCTACCATCATATGATCCAGAAATCCCACTTCTGGGTATTGTTAAAAGAAAAACTTCAGCCGAATTAAATTTAAAGGAGTTTAATCAAGCAATGAAAGATTCAGAATCAGGCATCCCCCCGAATCATAGCAGGTTCAAAGATTCCAGTGCAGCCACGTGGTGAAAAAAGATTTACAGCCAAAAAAAGGGAGGTGGCATACAGAAATCAGAAGTGAGGTACAGGAACAACTGGATTAGTTACAGCTCAGAGTTTGCCTTATTTGAACTCAGTTTGAACACTCAACAGTGTGTGATTGGTTGCAGTATGGCTGCTGGGATTGGCCAAGACTCAGCTATTGTTGCAGACACCTACTCCTAAGTTTTCAATCTTGTCTACCTATTAAGTTAGGTTGCAGTTCAACCACAAAGACTCAAATGTAGAAGGATAGAGTTCTTCTCAAGCCAGGTTTAGTTTGCTTTAACAATTCCTCCCTTTTGGTCATTTTCTCAATTTTGAGAGATTGACCAAAACTTTAGTCAATGATGTTACTATTACCATCATAAATGTAGGTCTAGAAACCCACTCGGACACAATAGAACAGTGAGTTTTGCAAAGGTAGGAACAAGGGCCTGGGTAGATGGTACCTCCTTATGCTGGAACATCCTGTTTACAGGAGCAAAACCAAACCTGGTCTGTTCTAAGTATACCTGTTTCCTTAAAGTCTTAGTTGGATTATGTTACATTTCACATGAGTGACTCCATTTTTCTTTGATTTGTTGTATTGGGGCCTAGTGCATGAGCTCAGTCCAAAACAATGGCCTCCTATAATTTTTTTTTTTTAAATTCTTTCTTTTTGGCCAGGTTCTCACTTAGATGAGAGTGCAAGGTCTTAGCACCACTCTCAGTTACCAGCATTTGGGATTTTCAGTCTCGGCATGTCATTCATAAGTTAAATGTCCTCATAGTTGTACATTTCTTTCAGCTCTAGTCATTCCAGTTGAAAAGAGACCATTTGACATTTTAGAGATGGGTGCATATAAACATTTAAAACATTTGGGAGAATACAGCACACCAGGAAGACTATATTTAAAACTATCAAGGGGGTAATACCAAGAGTTTAGAATATGCTCCTTGACCAGGGTCCCCATAAAACCAAACTACCTAAAATCAAATAAATCAAAGAATGATTTAGATGGTCTACTCACTTAACAAACTGGTCTTTTTGCTAATTCCCTGCAACTGAATCTCTATAATACCTAATGTTGTCTCTGTAGGTCATAATTCTCAGCAGCTGCACAGATACTTTTCTGTTTAGCCAACTCTATTATTAGCATAATTTTGACAGAAGAATTTAAAGTCTATTGTGGAACTATAGCCTTTACAGTGGAATCTACTATAGAGCCTATCGTAAGGGATACATTTCTAATCACCACCTCTTTTACTCCAACCATGGAAAATAGACCTAAGATGCCCTTCTAGAAGAGTGAAGCCCTCCTGGCAATGTTCTTTTTAACCTATCATGTGGGTTAAGAGGAGTGAACCAATGATCTGTTTCTGACTGATTATGAGGCAACATATGTACCATTAAAATTTCTCACCTACATTGGGCCTTCATCTTAATCGAAGTATAAGGTTATCTGTGTGTAATGCTGGCTGCAGAATCCTTCTCAAATAAAAGTATACCCCAAAAGTCCACATAACAGACCCCTTTTTCTTTCTATTGTTCGTACAGGCATAGAGGCACAAGGAAAAAAATATTCAAAAATAAGAGTCTCATGATAGTAGAAGTCTTGATCCATGATCTTGGAAAAAACTGTTCACCTCAAGGATGCCATCTTTTTCTGGGAAGAAACTTTCCTGGTTAGCTTTACCTAAAGGGATTCCAGTGGGTGTACATTCCAAGAGTGTTGAGGGACCCTTTTCAGTTGTGGGATTATGAACCCAAGGTTCACAGTCCTGAAGTTTTACTGTAGTGTGGATGGCAAGGGCAGGCTTTCTCTGACATTCTCAGAAGATTTGATCTTTGGGATCCAGATTGCGAAGGGGTTGACTGTCCACAGTGAACCATAGAAAGCTTTCTTTTTCTGGTGAATATACAATGTAGCATAATAATCTACTTTTATAACATCAGCCCTCTTGCATGGGAAAGCTTTTATGCAACTGAAAACATGCGTTGAAAATGACAATTGAATAAAATCCCTTTATAAAATGCTTAAACGGCCCAACAGGCAACCAAATGTAACCGAAGTGTTAATTGTTTTCTCAGGAATATGGGTTGACAAACCAAACACTGGTTATAAACTATTTAGCAATTTATAAGTCACTATACCAATATATTCTATTTGGATTATTTTATCTTTTCTGTAATGAGACATGGAATGTAGAACTTTTAATGATACCTTTAAGGACTTAAGAAGAACAAAGTGACCATCCTGGTTGTCCATGAGTCCACGTTTAACACTGAACTTTGGATCAGTTGTTCTTCCAATTTAGGTGCCTAGCACTGATAACTGTTGGATTATTATAGGTAACTTGGCTTAGACCATGGAGTTTATTCAAATTATATAACAAAACAATTTTAGCATTGGCTGATTTGGCATGAAAATCTGGCAAAGTATTTTCTTGGTATTCAAATACGTTTTGTTCTACTTGGGTTAAGAGTTTTATAAACCAGTCAATCTTTATTAAATGATATGAATTTAAAGTTACTAGAAACCTGTACTCAAGAGTGCTTTTCAGGTTCCTTTCCATTCTTTCATGAACTTCCTGAAAGACACCATATTCTAGGATTTTGCATGCTTGTGAAGTTTTCAGAAACTGCATCAGCATTATGCAATTAACTGTGGAAATGACTCTAAATAGTCATAAAGACACAATTGATAAGGCAATTTGGTTATTTCTGTGGTCTACAATCAATAACTTAACCATAATTATGATTGGTGGCATATTCTCTGACATATTAGAATTTTAGAAATCTTGTAAGATATTGATGACATCCACTAAAATATAACCCAAAAAAGATTAAACATTATCTTTTATTTTGACAATGCTTCCCATATAACTAAACATGTCAATAATCCTGTTTACCTCTCTTTTGAATGCTTCAGGGGCCCTTGGTAGCATCTCAAAGTTAGAGGTCCGAAAAGACAATTTTGAAGCTGAAATTTGATTTTAGGAATCCTATCAAATATGGTAAAGGTTTAAAACACTTAATATTGTGAAATAGGATTCCAGGTTACCATAAGTCATTCATTTAGCCAAAATGGTGACTAAAAAAAATATTAAAAAGGCAAAAAACCTTTATCATTGATAGAAGGATGATTTAACTTTCCACGCTCTTGTTTTTCCCTTCTTTTTCTGATAGTTTATTCAAAGGGCAAACAAAAAAATTTCATTATCTTCTAATATTACATGAAAATCTTGTTCAAGAGAGAAAGTCAAATTTCAACCTAGCATTAGTCTACTATTAATGTCAACCCCATTTTTTAATAAAATCTTATAGACAAAGTTTATCATTCTTAATCAGTTTGACCAGATGGTGAGAGTCTTACATTTTATAATCCTTTGTAATTCTTGTGAAAGATCAGATCAGTGCTCTAAGAAAGCCTGTTTTGCTTTTATTCCAATGTTCGATTTACAGAAAAAGTTAATAATACCCCATTAACTTTAGCCAATATCCACACAGAATTTATTTTTATAAGATTAATTTTTACAGACTTTCCACAAGTTGTTCAAACTTTTAGCTTTATCTTATCTAATTTAAAACGATCCTTTAATCCTCTAAACTAGGCAAAAATTTACATTCCCATGCCTTTTTATAATCTTTTCCCAAAACACATTTTACTCTCCTCACACACCTTGCATGTAAAATTATGTTTCCAGTACTCTCAATTACATGCTATCATGGTAACTCTTAGCAATTTTTAATCTTGGCGAAAAATCTTGTAACTTATTTTAATTATATGCTAGGTGCAGTTAAGGTCTGACTCGTTTTAGCATACTTACGGATGTGGCTTTCTACATGTCCCCAGGCCTTATGCAGACCCTAATGCTCCAAAGTAATCAAATTGAACAATTTTCAAAAGCCAAAGATGCAGTTTATGATCTTAAAGCATTCAACAAATCTAATATCTAATCTGCGTAATTCACACCCAATGTCTTTATTTTTGCTAACAATCTTTAAAACTTATTTCCCAAAGAGTACTAAAGTCACGTGAACTAAAAGATATTACAGTTTTTATTTTTCTTTCAAAATATTCGATCTAAGCACTTATTTTTTAAAATTAATTAGAGCTCTTCTATATAAAGATTACACATGACACATATATAACTACACAAACAGAAAGAAGAAGATACAGAGTAGTAAGATTTTTCATTTACCAGTTTCTTCTAAGTGTTTTAATTGGATTACTGGCTTTAGAGTGAAGTCCTTGGAAAAATAGGGCTAGGCAAATATGCAGTTTCTATAGCCTAATACAATCAGACACAGCTGAAAGGCAAAGCAGATATCCAGAATTGAGGGCCCCATTTTTACATTGCATCCTGGATTGCCAAAAGGTTCTTCTTTTCGCACTATTGCCAAAAGAATAGTGCAGTTCTTTTACTGTGCATTTTATTCCACGGCAACTTAAAGCCAATCAGCCCATTTTTTAATTACCCCATCATTAAAGTTTATTTTCTACCTATTTATTGCATACTAAAGTTCTCTCATAATGCAAAGCAATCCTCCCGAAGTCAAAAACACCAGATAACACAATGCAAAACAGAGCCTCAGACTTTGAGAGGGATCTTTTCACTTTCAATTCCTGGGGTTTCATGAGGAAAACAGATTTTACCTAAAACGGATTCTGCGGCTCCTCCTCTTTTTCTGGAGGAGTCTCGGCTACTAGAAGTTGTCTTAGGGCCTCTCATGTGCACATTAAGAGTGGCAAGACAAAATGGAGAAAAATAATTTAGTCAGCTGAGGAAAAAAAAAAAAAATGCTTTTTCCAGAGAAACAAGATCCAAGAAGAGAAAAACAAAGTTTTTTTAAATACATCTGTCGCTTGAGTGTCCACTTCTAGTTAAGCTGACTTTTAATCACAGCTTAAAATTTTTCTTTAAAATTTTTCTCTTAAATTTTTCTTTAAAAATCCTTGGCCAGGCACGAAGGCTCATGCATGTAATCCTAGCACTTTGGGAAGCCTAGGCTGGCAGA